TTTTTTTGAAAAATAATTATTCGACATCAAATTATCTTGTCCCTGGCGAGTAAATTTTCCTCTTTTGAACATTTGAATTTTTATATCATGAAAACTGTCTAAAAGTCATTCCGATATCCTTCGTTTCTCGTAATGGTTTCTCTTATGAAAGTTGTTGTGAAAAAAGATTGGATCTCTTTGATCCACTGAAGTACGGTATCGTTCTCTCAGTTGCTCGTGCATTACGTTCGACTCTTCTTCAAGTTAGGGTTCTGACGTTATTGCCTGAATTGGATCGTGAACTCTTTGGTAATGAATTTGAAGTTGGAATAAACACTTCAACATCAAAAAGTAATTACGACCTTCTTTGGCTTCGCGATCCTACTCGGCAACCTTTTCGCATTACCGTACAGTATTTAGGTCGTATTGCACTTTATTACACGATTCAGAAATGGTTAGTTTCTGTCCCGATGTAAAAGCGATTCACAAATCTCCTTGCGCACCATCATCGGTCATACAGCCGGTCCGGTTTATTGGTCACTGACATTTTTTCTTCTTTTTCTTATTTCAGAGGTGATTCCGCTTGCTACCTTGAAGTCTTCAAGAGTCTCTCCTGCTGAGCTTATCCTTGACCTCTTCGGCCACCTTTGCAGGTCAGGTTTTGCAGTCGAAGGAGAATTTATGTCTCACAATCAGTAATCTGGGTTTGAGTCCCAGCCCGAATGCCCTTTCTTGACGTATACGAGCAACGAACTTACCGAAGGTACAGCAACCTTCCCTCGTTCGAAATCTTTTCATTGTGTCGTATCTCTGACGGTTTTCTGATCGCTTGGTGTCTTCAATTTCGCTGTGGGACTACTGTATCATAAATTCCTTTCGAACTGCGAAGTTTCTCTCGTGTTTCCCGCTGTTGAACGGGGTCACGCATAGAACTTTGGACCGTTTCTATAATACTTTGCTCGAGACAGTTCGTTAACGGAAGCAAACAGTTGATTTTTATGGGTTGGCTAAGTTCAGGGATGTTCTCATGATCTACACGCTTTCGTATTACTGTTCCAAAGTCCATGTTGATAAAACCACTCCACAGAAATATTAAGTTAAAGGCACGGTTCACGATAAAAAAGGTTACTGAGTTGTTCCTTTAGGAATGCTCAGCGCCCCCATGGGTGGTAGAAGGGACCTTCTCGCTCCCACAATCTCGGCGCTTAGGGCATAGTGGAAGCCCCGTTGCTGCCGTAGTTCGCGTTCCCGCCTCTCGATCGGTGTCACT